CATGGAGCTTCATTAAGTATTCAGTCTCACTTTTATATTACATTTTTGATTTTCTTTAATGCATATAATGTAACACTCTTTAATTTTTATTTTTTTTGGTAAACGTAACACTCTTTAATTAAATTTATAATTTTATATTATTTTATTATAATTTCTAAATTTTTTAAATAATAATAATATAATATAAAAAAAGCACTTTTGCAACTTCAATGAAATTTCACTTTTTTATTTATATGAATTCATGATATAATTATCACCTTTAACTAAATTTGTCTTATTTATCTTTATCTTGAATGAAATTTTTTATCTTCACGTGAGTTAATGATATAAATTAAATCTTCAATGAAATTTTTTAATGAGGATTTAGTGTAAATTTCTAATAGAAGAATTTTTTACACAGTAAATTTTTTCCCTATAAATAGAGATAAAGGATTCATTATCAATGTTTCAAAAAAAAAAATTAGAGAAATAAGAGAGAGAAAAAGAAATGGGTCTTGAAAATTTTGAAAGAAACTTTATTAGAGGAGAAAGAGAAAAAAAAAAGAAAAAAAAGAAATTGAAGTTAGCAAGTTTTGCCAACTAAGAAAAATAAAATAAAATATTAAAATAAGGATAAATTCTCTTTTAAAATATAAACATATGATAAAGTTATTTTTTGTACGTTATAATTGTACACACCTATATATATATATATATATATATATATATATATATATATATATATTATATCGAATTTAAAATTCTAATTACCATATACATGTAATACCATATATATGAACAATACCATATATGCATAATATGTTATATATTTTATTATTAATTTATATTTCTAAATGCTGTTTATATTTATATATATTAATTTATATTTTAGAAATATATATATGTAATTTATATTTCATCAAATTTAAAATTCTATAATTTATAATTACCATATATATGTAATAACATAAATATGAATAATACCATGCATATATGTATGATATGTTATATATTTAATTATTAATTTATATTTCTAAGTGTTGTTTATATTTATATGTTATATCTATAATGTTTATTTTTTAAAAATAAATAAACTGCAAAGGTAAAATTTTGTATGAGAAATTTTATATGACAAAAGTCTACATAATTTATATTTTTCAAGACTTTCAATAATAATTTAACTTTCTTTATTTCGATTGTAATGTATTTTTAAAATATATAAAAATAAGACCATTTGACTATATTTTTTTAATTTCCAAACTTCATAAGATTTAACACAAACAATTAATATAATATATGGTTATAATTCAACGGTTTAGATTAATTAAAAACGTATTCTACATAGATATTGTAAAAATATTAAATCTTATATCGATATCATCCACCTAATTAACCCCCTTTTTATATATTTTTATCGGTACCGTATGTCGTTCACATGCCAAGTTTAAGATAAGAATATTGTTACATGACTGATATTGTTTGAGTTCCCTTTTTTTAAGTTAAAAGTTATTTTTAAGTTAAAGTTAAAAAATAGAGTTTAAAAAAAAAGAAATATTATTTGATAATTACATAAAAAATTTAATTTAAAAGTTACTTAAAAGCTCAAACCTCATTTTAAGAAAAATTGATAAGCACTTTGAAAAGAGCTCATTCTATGAACTTTTGGCTTTTTTATTCATTATAAAAAATATCTTTTTATTATAAGAGCTTTGTAGAAACTTGTTTGATCTAATTTCTACTTATAAGGAGAGAGAAAAAAAACTAAAAAAGAGATGATCCAAATAATTACTACATGTAGCGGATAACAATTTTTAAAATAGTTATGACTTGTTGTAGGGCTTTATAAGCAAGCATATAACTTGTTGAATGCTGGTATATATTATATGCATGACACGGTTTTCAAATAGCCTATTGTTTAAGACAAATCATAATATTAATTAAAAATTTGACGATGGAATTGGAAAGGAGGAAATGATTAAGTTACATGGAATTCGATTGAGGACAGAAGCTGTTGAGGGCCAAAAGCCTAAACCATTGGCAATCAATTAATTGGTATTTGTATTATTTGATGAATGCAGCATGAATATTTAGTTGGTAATAATCATCCACCTTGCATAGATTATCCTAAAATATTTCTTGGATGCTATATTGAAAAGTTTGGGTCATTTTATATTTCAGGGTCCACAAAGAGAAGAAAACCAAAAGCAGCAAATCACTGAAGAGAAACTGATGAAAAACAACTGGCGCGCTATCTTGAGTTCTCGGGTTTTTATCAACTTGTCTATGTGGGTCCACCCTAACGCCAAGGACTGATCCGTACAAGATGTGACCTATTTTATGCAACTTTGTTCTATATGGTAACACGGATTTCAATTCTTTTAATCTATTTTTACAATATAGTGTTATACTCTACTCAGAGAGTCATAATTGTTCAATACCATACTCATCCTATTGGTCTTGGCGCTATTTATTTCCTTGAGTACAAAATGCGCGACTCATAATATAAACACATTACAAAAATGAATCATTGAATATGTGTAAAAAAAACCATAATAATGTAAGGGTTTTGTATATGTTATATTATAGGAAATTTGTAGTGCCATGTTACTCTAATACATTTGATGTGAGTCTCACTAAAACAAAAAACAAAAAAAAACAAGGTGGGGCCATCACTTTTTGTGAGAGTAATAATAACATGATATATATAAAACCCATAAAATAAAGTAGGAAAGATTAATTATATTAAAAATGTATACATAAATATCATTTTTCTATTCCATTATTTCTAAATGCATCTCAAAAAGATGTGGTGCTAAGTCTGACTAAATATTTTTTTTTCTACTTTTAAATATTAACTAGTTATTAATATTTTTTTTTGTATTGATATTAAAAGTATAAAATATAAATAGGATCACTAGTAATGTTACAGTATATCGCACACAGATAGTAAAATAGTCATCCAATGTACAAAAAAAAAAAATGTTAATAGTTATAATACATGACAATGATTGTCTCTATGATCTATACCTCAATCCAATCCAAGTCATTCTTAGTAGTAACATTCTGGGACAGAATTCATCGAACAAACAAGAAAAATGAATCATCATTATTATCATGAGCAAAGGGGAGGATTGTGCAATGGATAGGCTTTTAAAAAAAAAAAAAAAAATTGATGGAAAAATACTTAGGCGAACCTGGCCAATAAGACAAACTCGAACTGGGGGAGGACGAATGATATGTGAAGCCGCGGGGGACCAACGGATGGGCAAGAATTTGTTTTTGGTTGAGAGCATGTATCTTCAAGAAAAATTCTTAGCTAGGCACACATTTTAATTATTACTTTATCTCTAAATCAATTAAATCATTATTTCTTATGTATAAAAATATTTTTGATAATATATAAAAATAATTGGGGTCTATACAGCAAAACAAGACCGAGCAGAAGATTTTTTTTTTTTTGCTGTTGTTCCAGAAGTATAAACCTCAAAATAATTATTATTTATAAGCATAATTTTGTAATAATTTATACAGTTATATTTAATAATGATTTAACTGTTTATAATAAATCGTGCTTAAAAAAAATTATTCGTATTTAATTTCAATGCCTACCATGACTCTTGGATAAACCCAATGTAAATGTAAAATGAATATCTCCTTATGTGCTAATCTGGAGTCTGATCACTGGCCTCATAAAAAGCAACAACAAACAATAGAGTAGATTCCTAAGATATATTCTATATTATTTTGGAAATTGAAAAAAAAAAGGTTTATTTAAGATAATTAAGGAGATAGAAAGAGAAGAGACCATGCCGAGGGCTTGTGCAGAAGCAGCAAAGCTAAGGGGGGATGAACTTCACAAAATCAAGGTCCACCCCCTCATGTGAACCCCATCAAGTTGCCAAGTTGGTAATGTGTGGGGGGTTCCTATGTCACACACAAAGCCCCCAACTAAAACATAATATATATGAGACACGCAATTCTCTACAGGAGAAATTTTTATGACTTACAGAATGAGCATTGTTTTTTAACCATAACATTACTGAACGTGTACTATTTTATTTATATAAATTATTATTTTTTCTCACTCAAAATATATTTTTTAATGCTATAATGATATAATCTACATTTTATATACCAGATAAATAAAATGCGCTTATATTTTATTTTAAGGTAAGACCTGGAAATATTCTTATATATTTAAAGTATTGAATTGATCTTTACTGAGATATGTGAATGTGAGCACTACTGAGATACAAATAGGAGAGTTAGTTTAGGTCATTTTTTAACGGGTTAAACAAAATGTAAGTTGATCCGCAACAAGTTAAGTATAGTTCCGTTAAATAAATTATTTATTCAAGTTCAAAATAATATTTAAATAAATTTAAAATTATAATAGTATTTTTAAACTTCGTAAACCTTATGAAATCGAACTAAAATATTGTTTTATTTTTATTTCAATTTTATTACGTGACTTACACATTTTCTCTTGTTATGTATATATAAAGTGACCCGTAAAATTCCACCTATTTCGAATTCGATACCTAGTTTAAATAAAGTCCCCCCAAATGAAATTAAAATTATAAAGTGACCCACATCGGTGATTTCTCTTATGAGATCTTATCCACTTTTCTCACACATTCTCTGTTTCTCTCTATATATATATATATATATATATCTACAACCATGAATCTTCCTCCATGTCCAATTGAGTTGACCCACACCCACCTATACTATACTCATTCACACTCACAATTAATGAAATGAAATAAAATATAGTAATTACCCATGATGATGCCTAAGTATCCCAACCTGGTTACATATCATTTTTCACAAAATAAAAAATACACTTAAGGACAGTCTCCTCCTATATATATACATCCACACTCAAAGCAACGCTTACCTATTCTCAAGTTTCTCTGCTTTTTCATGCTTCATGCTATAGCTAATACTCAAACGGAACCAAAACACTTATTTGCTCTTTCTCTCCCTTTCTTCACACAAACCAAAAGTTAGTTACAAAAAAAAAAAAAATTAACAGAAAATGGAAGTTGGTAGTTGCACAGACGAAACCACCACAACCAGTGATTCCCTTTCTGTATCCCTTTTACCGGCGAAGATATCTTCACCGACGCCCAACACGCTAAGCCGAGTCGGCAGTGGCGCCAGCGCCGTCGTGGACCCCGAAGTTTGCGGCGGCTCCGGTGAGGCAGAATCCAGGAAACTTCCGTCGTCGAAATACAAAGGTGTCGTGCCACAGCCCAACGGCCGGTGGGGTGCTCAGATTTACGAGAAGCACCAGCGCGTGTGGCTCGGCACCTTCAACGATGAAGACGAAGCCGCAAGAGCATACGACATCGCCGCCCAGAGGTTCCGTGGCAAAGACGCCGTCACTAACTTCAAGCCCCTCGCCGGCGCCGGAAACGATTCCGACGACGAGGAAACCGAGTTCCTCATCTCGCATTCCAAATTCGAGATCGTTGACATGCTCCGAAAGCACACCTACCACGACGAGCTCCAACAGAGCAAGCGCGGCGGCATGAAGCAGCGGCGCAACGGCGAAACTGCAGAAACGGCGCCGTCGCGAGACGCGTGCGATATGAAAACGCGTGCGCATCTGTTCGAGAAAACCGTTACGCCGAGTGACGTGGGGAAGTTGAATCGGTTGGTGATACCGAAACAGCACGCGGAGAAACACTTTCCCTTAGGAGGTCGGAGCTCGCCGTGCGTGGCGGAGACGGCGGCCGCGGCGAAGGGTGTGCTTTTGAATTTCGAGGACATTGGAGGGAAAGTGTGGCGGTTTCGTTACTCATATTGGAACAGTAGCCAGAGCTACGTGCTGACCAAAGGGTGGAGCCGGTTCGTGAAGGAGAAGAGCCTTCGGGCCGGTGATGCGGTTCGGTTCTACAGATCGACCGGACCGGACAGGCAGTTCTTCATTGACTGCAAGGCCAGGAGTACTAGTATTTGTGAGGTTGGTACTAATAATGGTGATATGTTTATTCCTGTCGGACCGGTGGTTGAACCGGTTCATATGGTTCGGCTTTTTGGGGTCAACCTCTTGAAACTACCTGGTTCTGATGGTGTTGTTGGTGGGTGTAATGGGAAGAGGAAAGAGTTGAATCTCTTTACCTTAGAATGTAGCAAGAAGCTAAAGATAATTGGAGCTTTGTAACATTACATAATTTTATTTTATTTTATAAGTTTTTTGTTTTTTGTGAATTTTGGAATTTAGTTACTGATGAAATCATGTGGAAAAGAATGGGAAGTGGAGAAGGTACAAGAATGGTGGTGTAGTTGCAAGTTGCAAAAAGTGAATTGTATATTATTAGAAAAGAAAAGGTGAAATTTAGGGGCAGCAGAAACTGTATAATAGAAAAGGTTTTTGAAAAAGAAATGAAGAAGCTGGACTATAAGTGTTTATTTTGTAATCTGTTCATGCATAACACATACACATACACATACACATACGTGGTTTCGGTCTACTTTTGATATCTTCTTTGTGGTGTAGGGGCATGGCTTTCCGAAAATATCGTCTCTGTTGAAAAGTTAAAATATTTACCTTTCATTTATTTTTTATGAACGAGGAAGGTATGCTAAAGATTCAGAAAAATTAATTCGTATATATTACGGGTGGGGGGTCCATAGCAGGCATGGCCTAGGAAAATGCGAACAAGTTGATAATGAGACATTTGTCCAATAAAGAAAGGAAGAGCTATTTGGCAAGTTGGTTTTGCGTACACTGTACGTGCCCATAGCTTCTAATATTCGAAAAATTCAAGACCTTGCCAGTACCTTGTTTTTGGAATGGTCAACTTTCCATGAAGCTTGCAGTGTTTGCATCACTCTGCACCCCAAATATTGCAACTCGTTCCCTGAAAAAAAGGGAACCAAAAATCTGCAACTCAGATTTTGTCGACATGTTTTGGGGCAGATCAATTTCATTTTCGAACTCCTGAAAATTCTACGTTTCGCTTGTTCTTTTTCTTTCTCTACCAAATATGTTCTTTTTCTCTACCAAATATATAATATGCAACAATATCGCTTGTATATATTTTTAACAAATTTTCATCTATTATTAAGGATAATAACGTGTACTACAAGCTTCTATTTTCTATTGACTTTCTCTCTAATTTTGGATTGAGCAATGTTAATGGAATTCAGGTAAATCGTTCCTTTTTGAAATTCAAATATTCTCTTCATTATTTTTTAATTCATTATATTATCCTAACCATTTAAAATATGTACTTTTTAGGCTAAAATTTGAACCTAGCTAATATAGTTCTTTACAAGATTGCATTGCATAAAGCTAAATTCATAACAAATTTAAGTTTCCCCCTTTATTTTTTTTACAAATAAAAATATTGATATGAGTACAAGTTATCTTATTCTAAGATTAAAATATGTCATGAGTTTTAACAAGAGCTTATAGTGACACTCACAAATGAATTGTCAACAAAAAAATCACTTCAATTAATTGTAAAAACTTAATTTAGACATGAATAATTTTATGAATTTTGATTTATATACTACAAACTTGTAAACCAAACAGCAAACAGTCAATATGACCAGCATAAATGAGAAAGAAAAAAATTAAAAATAATTTTAGATAAAAAAGCTGCGTAAACTTTCACGGTTTTATTTATTTAATTTATCAGTTAATGGGCTTTTGATCTTGTTGCGGGCTTCGTTGGCGGACCTATTTGGTTGCCAATGTGTGCAAGTGCATGCATAAATTTAGTCATACATTTATTTTTAGTAAAAAAGAGATATATTTTTTAATTAATTAAGAATGTCAGTTAAGGAGCAATTTTAGTGACTGCATTGCCAGAAATATTAAGAAGGTAACATTACTACATATGTTTTAGTGATTTTATATCATTAAGTTAATTACTATTTTTTTATAATAATTCGAAGTTTTTTTTTTTTTTTTTTGAGGATTATATCTTTCATATATGAATGAAATTTGTTGTCATGTTAAGAAAAAAACAAGTTAATATTAAAGAAAATGAGATCACACATTATTCAATGAATTGTTTTTGTTTTTTTTTTAACATGACAAAAGTTTTGGTTCATATAACATGAAAGATATAAATCATTTTTTGTTTATATTCTTTTATTTAAAAATTAAAAAAAAATTCAAAGGCACTGCTCCCAAACCCCCTCCATTATAGATTTTCGTATTACGTACGTACGTATGGATGTAACCGAAGATTTCATGCTTAATTAAACGGAAATAAGCGTTATTAATAAGGGTTTTATGTTTGTCATTTTTTTTTTATAACAATATGTTTGTCATTTAAATGACATAAGTTACGTCATTTTAAGAGAAAAATAAACACATGAAAATCATAGGAGAGAGAGAGTGGAGTTTTTTTTTAATTTAAATTTTAAATAAAAAAATTTATTTTGTGTCTATCTCTCTTCTAAAATGAGACATAATTTTATGTCATTTAAAATGACAAACACTTTTTCGTATTAATAATAGTCGCATGGCAATCATGACTTTTGCCATAGCCGTAGGAAGGTTGCAACCTTAGCGGTAGCAATGAATGTTGGGGTTGAAATTTTGTCATTGCAAAAAAAGAAAGAAAGAAGACTGACAGTGTCAATTGTCAACGAGTTATGTCAATGTATGAAGTTCAATATGTTATTACACATCTTTCTTTCTTTCTTTTTTAACTTAAGCGCACATCCAATGTAAATCGACAAACTGATATTTAAATTTATAGTTAATGAAGTGGACTAGGCGCATCTCTTAATTTGAAAGGAATAGCCATTAATTTGATGACATTCTCTAAAAATAATTACTTTTTTAGTACTTATTTATGATATAAGTATATACCAGTTTTTCATTCCAACAATCAAATTCAAACTGAAACGAAATGTTATTCTTCTTTCAAAATTTTCATTCATGTCCTCCTTCACGAACGAAATCTAATCTCAAGAACATTATACTGCAAGATAATTTTAGTCTAGGTCTTTGTCACCCTTTTTCTCATGCGATAAGTGGGAATTGAATCTTCACGTCCGAGTATTGGTACTAGGGTTACTTTTATTAACTACACGAGGTCCCATATTTAGGTATCTCTAAGCATTTATTCTTCCATTTAGTTTGCGTATAAGCGCCAAACACGACTTTTCATGTACTTGCCTTGCCCTACAGAACTGCAATATTTTTCATGTTGAACGTTTCAATCTTCAATGGCATGTCAGTTCCTAATGCATTTAGAGTTGCTAATTAAGCATGAATAAGTATTTAATGGGTTAATTCAAGAAATTCAGTGTCAATAAAAATTAATGGCACATTAAACATAATTCTCATGTTAAAGAAATTAGCGTGTTTTCAGGGTAAAGATTTGATATATGTCTTGCGCTTGATTAATTGTCATGGTAAAACTTTTTTTAAATTATTAGGATAGGGTTGATTTAATTTTGATTTTTAAGACTTTTAATATATATGTATTGAATTATTACTTTTCCTTTTAATGTATTTAACTACAATTGATATGTAAATAACTTATAAAATGGCATTTAATTAAGACCCCTATTATAAAGAAATTGAATATTTTCTTATTTTAAACCCTATAAAAAAAGAGAGTTTCTCTTTAATCAATTCTAATTTTTTGTTTTGCTAATTTTCTTTGTTGATCACTTATTTATATAATGTGTTAAGATTTTATTGAAATAATATAAGAAAAACTTTACACAATAAATGAATTAAATTTAAAGTCAATAGATTAAAAGCAACCTACTTCAATTCATACAATGTCCAATTGTTAATTCTCATATATATTTGAAGTGATGCTGCAGCGAAATTAATAATATAATTTTATGGGTTGTTCAAAATACCTAGTTCATAGCCTATGTACGGAGTTTGAATCAATGTTATGAAAGTCTAACGTGTACTGGATCAATAGGTCACCAGATTATTAACTAGTTATTGGTTCAATCACTTGAATTAAATATAATAAATATAAAATTAGAAGAATTAAAGTTAATAAATAGAGTTGGTTTAGTGATATAAGTGTTGTTACTAATTATAAGTTATATTTCACATGGTCTATATTCAAATCCCATTGATGGTATTTTTCAAATATTTTGTCCAAATTAAACTTTGCAAAACCGATTTTTTTGAAAAAAAAAAATTAGTGCCTGTTTAACACCGACTGAACTCGATTCAAGATCAATTCACCGGTTTTATACCAGATCAAATACTTAACCGGTCTAATACCTTAATCGATTGGGTCGATTTTTATAACATTGGCTTGGATAGTTGATTTGAGGAAAAACTCGTACATGCCTACATTTGGATTTTCGTTCATCCACTTCAAACTTGCATAAGTGGCAAACATGATTTTAATAAAAAGGAAAGAAAAGAAATGTAAGTTAAAAAAATTAACGTTTACATTTGGTTAGGAATTTTATACAAGTTTAATTTTTTCTTAAATTAATTTTTTTAAATGTAAATAATTTTACTTTAAACATATTTTTAACTGAAATTAAATTCACAAAATCAAAATATTCAAAAACAAGTTTCTCCAACACTCATCCAAATAGATACTAAGCAAGCTTAATAACTCATTACTCTGCTATTTAACTTTTTTTACGAGTACAAATAAGTAAAAAATAAAAGACCTTATTTATCTCCTTTTCCAATTTATTCTCTAATTACATTTTCCTATCAAGGATACACATTTCTATTCCATCGAAAGCTTTAATAAGTTTAACAATATATTTCAAAATATTTCACATTCAATTTATTTAAGTTTTATTTAAAACACTGTCAGAATTATGTTTGTCCATATTTATTTTAAAAATCAAATACTTGACTTTTATTTTTCTTCATTCATTTTTATTATTTTCTAAAACGAATTCTTTTAATTAACTTTCTCAATTTACGCCAGTGTTTGCACCATGCAATGCGGGGGCAGCTTATAAATCTCCCACCAATTCTATTCTATTGCTATTTCTATTGACACTTGATTTGAAATTTTTGAAAATGAAATGCTTTTGAATTGTCAACTTGGGACATTTCCAAATGAGTCAACATATTCGTCTTTATCTTTATAGTCTTGGCCCTTTGTCCTTAACAATATATTTAAGTTGAATAATTCACTCTAAACGACAGCGATTGATACTGGTGGACTGGTTGTGATGAATGATGATTAACAACATCAAGCATATCCCACACCGAAGCTTCTTTTAATAGTCATTACCCACTACTATCTTGCCTCTTAATATTCGTGAAACTTCTACGAAAACCCTTTCATACAAATGAACATTTTTCCTCTTTGGTTTTTTCAAATAATATTATCACAATTT